TGGGTGTACCTCAGTCTGAACTGTGGTACTTGTAGACCTGGTTCTACGTCGGTCTGAACTGTGGTACTTGTAGACCTGGGTGTACCTCAGTCTGAACTGTGGTACTTGTAGACCTGGTTCTACATCGGTCTGAACTGTGGTACTTGTAGACCTGGTTGTACCTCNTCTGTCAGTGTCTGTCAGTGTCTCTGTCAGTGTCTGTCAGTGTCTCTGTCAGTGTCTCTGTCAGTGTCTGTCAGTGTCTCTGTCAGTGTCTGTCAGTGTCTCTGTCAGTGTCTCTGTCAGTGTCTGTCAGTGTCTCTGTCAGTGTCTCTGTCAGTGTCTGTCAGTGTCTCTGTCAGTGTCTCTGTCAGTGTCTGTCAGTGTCTCTGTCAGTGTCTCTGTCAGTGTCTCTGTCAGTGTCTGTCAGTCTCTGTCAGTGTCTCTGTCAGTGTCTGTCAGTCTCTGTCAGTGTGTCTGTCAGTGTCTGTCAGTGTCTGTCAGTGTCTGTCAGTGTCTCTGTCAGTGTCTCTGTCAGTGTCTCTGTCAGTGTCTGTCAGTGTCTGTCAGTGTCTGTCAGTGTCTGTCAGTGTCTGTCAGTGTCTGTCAGTGTCTGTCAGTGTCTCTGTCAGTGTCTCTGTCAGTGTCTCTGTCAGTGTCTGTCAGTGTCTCTGTCAGTGTCTCTGTCAGTGTCTGTCAGTGTCTGTCAGTGTCTGTCAGTGTCTGTTAGTGTCTGTCAGTGTCTCTGTCGGTGTCTGTCAGTGTCTGTCAGTGTCTCTGTCAGTGTCTCTGTCAGTGTCTCTGTTAGTGTCGCTTTCACTTTTCAATAGACCAAATATCTGCCTCCTCCGATCAGCAGAAATCCAGTTATCATAAATCCAAATAGATACAAATCTTCCACATCTTCACTGGAATGTGGTGTGAGACACATCAGGTTCCAGCCCCAAGAACCACTAGCACGACCAGCAGCAACCATTCCACTGGGACAGCTTTGTTCCCCTTATACCAGTTGTAATGTGGAAAAATGTAGTATCAATTGTGTTCAGAGACCAGTTGACCAAATCCATAGTTCATTTTTGTTTCAGATGACTGAGATTGGTTAGGGATCAAGTGAAAAGGCAAAAGCAGTTCTTGTTTAAAATTCTGAATGAGAGATTTAAAGCAGAAATTCTGTTTTTGTGTCTGCAGCTCGTCTCAATCAGGTCTCTGCTCTCAGGCTCTTGATGCTTTTGGTAAAATCTAAAAAATAATGCAGATTTTTGACCTTAAAACTTCTGAACTCTGGTTCATTTATTCCTTGTTTTTCTGTTTGCAGTGAAAGCCTGTAAAATGTTTGTGACTAAAGAAATGTTGCTGCTGAGCATCTCTATTGGATACACAGGTGAGTGTACAACAATTCTGTTGGGACAAACTCCACCCACACACAAAGCTACACCAATCACTGTTGGGACAAACTCCACCCACACACAAAGCTACACCAATCACTGTTGGGACAAACTCCACCCTCACAACAAGAACCTTCCCCTCTGTACTGCAGAGACCCCTCCTTGGGTGGATGATGAATTGTTTCTTGTGCAGCAGCAACAATGGGAGCTGATTTCAGCCATTCAAATGGAGCATGTGGAGACCTTAAGGGACAGTCATTTTGACCACTAGTATCTGTGATCTTGGTCTTGATGATGATGATGAGGGTAGGAATATAGACCGACCAGTAAACAGAGCTTCTCCTGACAGCTCAGCTCCCTCTGAACCACAACAGACTGGTACAGAGTCCACAACCCAGCAGAAGCTGCACTGATCTGTCTGTCAATATCATGCTCCATTCTTCCATCACTGTGAACAAAACTCCAAGATACCTGAGAACCTCAACCCTAATCTGGAAAGAGCAATCCACCCTTTCCTGACTGAGGACCATGGCCTCAGATTTGGAGGTTCTTATCCTCGTGAACCGCTCCAGTGAGAGCTGAAGATCACGAGGACACCATCAGGACTACATCATCTGCAAACAGCAGAGATGGAATCCTGAGACAACCACACCAGACTCCCACCTGGCCCTGGCTGCACCTAGAGATTCTGTCAGAAATGTGAACAAAGCCTTGTATAAGAACTGAATGTCTCGTAACAACAAACCCACAGTCCCATTGTCACGGAGCACCCCCCACAGTTTACCTCATGTTCAAACAGCTTGTCCCAGTCCACAGAACACATGTAGACTGGTTGGATGTGTTTTCAGATCTGCTTTCAGATTGGTTAGTTTGCTAGTCTGGTTTCAAATGTAAATGTTGGATCAGTTATGTCTGTTTTTTCTAGATTTTTGAAAGTAGGGTTTGATGTGGTCTTGGTACTAAACTGGTTTTGAAGAACTTATCTTCATGTTTTTGAACTGGTTTCAAACCTGGGGATGGGTTTAGGAGAACTAAATAAATTCTGTTAGATATAGAATCCTGATTTGACCTAAAACCTTGTTTCATCTCTGTAAATTCAGCTTAGCTGTGTCTCTGGCTCTGACAGGCCTGGAGCTCACCTTCTACAGCGGTGTGTACGGGACGTGTATCGGAGCCATGAACCTCTTTGGAACTGATGCAAGGAGTCTTATTGGGATCTCAGGTATTTGCATCGGTGCTGGTGAGATCTTAGGTGAGTCATTTATGATGCAGCTTGTTCTCTTTAAGTTCTGCAGAGAGAACCACATCCATCCAACAATTTCTGTCTGACATTTGACCAGGCGGGGGCATCTTTGGGATGCTGAATAAAAACAACCGTTTTGGCAGGAATCCAGTGGTTCTGCTGGGCCTCATCACCCACTTTGTGGCTTTTTTCCTCATTTTCCTCAACATTGCGAGTGATGCTCCACTGGCCCCTGAAGAAGGAACAGATCTTCGGGCTTTTATCAACCCCAGGTAAAAAGAAACTTGGTTCATGTTGGCTTTTAACCATTCATTTATTGCAAATTTTGACTTTATTGTGCTGTTGTAAAAACATTTTCTAAATATAAAGAAGTTGAACAGTGAAGAAACTAAAATCCCTGTTAGGTGTTTGTGTAATAAAGGCTTGTGTAAATAAGAAAATAAAAGACTTTGTTCTATTATAGAAAACTCTGTGGAACTACAGGTGTTATTTGTTAAAGAAGAAGAAGCTGCTCTGTAGAGTGTTGATGGGCTCTGTGGGTCAACATGTGCAGCATCACAAATATTTATAGATAAGTCGATATATGCTTTTAAATCCTTCTTTTTCACATTTAAATCCAGTTGGGGTGTATGTTACGAACACACAAATACACACACCCAGTGGGTCAGTCTCCCTCCCTCCCCAGCTGCTCTCCTCCGGTCATTTCCTGAACTTGCAGCGATCATTTTAAAGCAAATCGATCAGCTGTTCATTATGAGATGACTTGGAAACAGACCCAGCAGCAGAACAACTTTATACTTTTGAAATTATTAACACATTTAAATGTCCACTATAATTAAAGAAGTGATGTTTCCGTTCATCGCTTCATATAATCCATAATTAACCATTGCACTGCTGGGAAGAAGAGAGACACGTTTCTTACTGCACATGCCTAACCAGGAAATCTGTCATCAGTCTGAGCTCTATGTTCTCTGTAGACCTGGTTCTACATCAGTCTGAGCCATATGGTAACTGTAGACCTGGTTCTACATCGATCTGTGCTTTATGGAACCTGTAGACCTGGTTCTATATCAATCTGAGCTCGGTGAATGCTGTGTGACGGTTTGTGGGATTTATGATTTTATTGCTGTTTAATTTAGATAATTGAAAGTGGTGCTAGTCAGGTCTCCCTCCTGACATACAGGTCTGAACTGTGGTACCTGTAGACCTGGTTGTACCTCAGTCTGAACTGTGGTACCTGTAGACCTGGTTGTACCTCAGTCTGAACTGTGGTACCTGTAGACCTGGTTGTATCTCAGTCTGAACTGTGGTACTTGTAGACCTGGGTGTACACCTTGTTACCTTTCTAAAGTGGTTGTTGTTTTAGATTAGTTGTGTACAGGTGTGCTGATGAACTTGTTTTGTGTTTGTGTCTCAGTGTCGGTGTGGCRTTGCTCTGCAGCTTCCTGCTGGGTCTGGGAGATAGCTGCTTCAACACTCAGCTCCTCAGCATCATTGGCTTCCTGTTCCGGGACAACAGCGCTCCTGCCTTTGCTGTTTTCAAATTCATCCAGGTGACAGCRTCAGGAGGAGGTTGTAAATTCTGTAGATCTCCTGTGCTTTTCTGAGTTTGATTGACATGTTGTTGTGTCTTCTTCAGTCCATCATGGCTGCCGTGGCCTTCTTCTACAGTAACTACCTGCTGCTTCACTGGCAGCTGCTCATCCTCATCATCGTCGGGTTTCTGGGCTCCATCTCCTTCTTTGCAGCCGAGCTAATTGCAGAGGCCAAGAGGCAGGACTCAGATTATGGAAGCATCTAAAAAAGGATGAGAGGAGCACAGATGGACTGCATCGACCTTTCCCAGCTGGAGGATCTCAGTGGGGTTTAGATGTGAGACTCTGATTCTGTGGTTTCCTTCCAGCTGCTTGGTGCACTTCTCGTCTCGACCTGAGTTTTCATTTTTCTCATAGAGCTGTTTTCATGTGAGCTCTGGTTCAGTTGCACTCCAAGCCTCTTCATCTTCATCAGCCAATCATCTCTATAAAACCCTTTGATTGATTGGTGGAGTTCTTCAGTGCAGCACTTTTAATTTAAAATACCTCTGATCTTCTCAGGCTGTGTGGAACAATACAACCAGTTMAAGACCAACTATTGGGTGTTTTTGAAATATTCATAATAAATTGAGCATTTAGACAGACCCATTTAAAGTCTTGATCCAAAGCAGCCAGTTTTTGTGCCAAAGAGTTTTTGTTGTCATTAAGAATAATTTAAAAAGCCATCAGGGTTCTGCTCTGGGTAATGACTGTCTCATTGTCTGACTGGACAAAAGGCAAGAGACGACTGGGTGACAGATGACCAGACGACAGACCATGGAGGACTGAAACTATTAGAAAATAAAAGCAAAAATATATGAAAGTCCATTAAATAAATACAGTAAGTATTTATGGTCAAAATGYACCAATTAATTTCACAAAAGAGAATTTTACATCATGTTTTATTCATTATTCAACCTTCATCTTTATTTTTCCAGCTTAGCAAATGATATACTGTGGCACAATTTAAATGTGACTGTTTTTAAAAATATATATATTTTTGTTTTTCCTTTTACTTGTTCATGCATTTTAAATGTCTTAAAGGCACAGGCTAGGCTAGGCTAGGCTAAGTGTTTTTTCTCCCTGCATTTGTTTGTTTTTTGTTGAAATCAAGACTTGTGGGGACAAAAGTAAGAAAAGTATTTAAGATGCAAATGCGGTACAATTAAAGAGAAAAACAAAATATATAGAAATATTTTTTAAAATTTAAAATAGTTGCTAAAATATATGATTTGGAACTAAGCTGGAAAAATAAAGATTGTCAGTAAAATATAAAACATGAGGTAAAGTTGTACTGTTTAAAATTTAATTGGTGCTTTTTAAGTGTATTTATTTATTTCATCCTCATCATCAAACTTTATTTATAAAGCGTAATAACATCAGCCACAGCTGAAACAAAGGGCTGAACACATGAAGTAAAAACTCAATACAAAAACACAATAAAACCACAGTTAAATTAGTAAAATCAGCACCAATACAGTAAAAGTTGAGTAAAATCAAATCCCAGTTAGGCTGAAGGCCAGTGAGAAAAAATAAGTTTTTAGGTGAGTTTTAAAAATGGACAGTGAACGGGTGATGTGCTCTCTTCTACATGTTCCTGTTAAAAGACGGGCAGCTGCACATGTGTGAGGGATGACTGGTTTAATCCAGAGCACAGTGACTTACAGTAATCCAGTCGAGATGAAATAAAAGCATGGACTACTGCTTCAAACTGTTGCCTTGAAAGAATAGATTTTATCTTTGCTATTTTTCTCAGGTGATAAAACTAGACTTAACTGTAGCCCATCTTAAAACCAAGGTTTGTAGCTGTGGGCTTGACATACATTGTCAAGGGGTCTAAATAAACTGGAGGGCTCGGGCATGCTCCACTAGGTCCAAAAACAAGTATCTTTGTCCTTTTTTTCTTTAAAATGCAAGAACTTTCGGGCCATCCAAGCTTTAAGATCAATGAGACATGCTAAAAAGGTTTAATGGACCAAGCCTCAACTCACCTTAGAGGTACATAGATTTGGTAGTCGTCAGCGTAGCAATGAAATGAATCTCTTTAATGAATACAAGAGATGCTGTGATTTCTAAAATCTGAACCTAAAGGCAAGAGGTACAGAGAAAAAAGCAAAGGATCGAAAATTGAGCCCTGGGGAACCCCACATGACAGAGGAGCAGAAAAGGATTCAAAGCCTGCATTTTTTACTGAAAATGTTCTATTTATTGCTTGATTTATATGTTTCTGCTTTTATTTCTAATTGTGTCAGTTTCAGTCCTTCATAAGAGACGAGAGACAAGCAGGCGAAGTCTCAGGACAGTCACTTTTCTGTATGGGATTTAAAATCTGTATTTCAACCTTTCCCACTGTACACAGGGTTGGATTAGGGATAAGATTAGAGAGAATCCTGAGAATGACAGCATGATGGCTCAGTGGTTAGCACTGACGCCCCACAGCAAGAAGGTCCTGGGTTCGATCCCCGGTTTGGACCTGGGGTCTTTGTGTGGAGTTTGCCGAGGACAACATGCTTGTTTGGGTTTTCTCCGGGTACTTCGGTTTCCCCCACCCCCAAAACATGTACAATAGGTACAATAGGTGCCTTCAGGCCCAGGCCTCCCTTGAAAAAGAGATCTGAGATCTCAATGAGACTTGCCTGGTTAAATAACGGTAAATAAAATAAATAAATGAACTAATTTTTGAAGCAAGTGGTTTTACATCAGGTTCCGAACCAGACCTGCTCTGGAGGATGTCCTGATGCATCTCAGTAATCCAGGTACAAAATCAAAAAGAAAAAATAGTATAGGTCTTCTGGACGGGTTCTTCTCTAATGAAACGTTTCGTCTCTCCTCCAAGAGACTTCTTCAGTCACATGGAGGCAGGGCTTAAAAGCCTGAATTTAGCCTGAAACTCTCAGACTGAAGA